TTGAACGTCATATATATGGCATTATATAGAACAGAAAACAATAGAATTTTTCGTTTTATTAAAAGCTGTTTTTATTTGTTTGGCATAAATTACATCGCCAAAATTATTGTCGGTACGCTCAAATACTGTGGAATACTTTATTTTCACTGAAATTAATTTTCGCTGAAATGGGTTTTTGGGCGTTTTGTACGGATTAAATTTTCACGGAATCATCCCTTCAGTGAAAATAGCGAAAATAAAGTATTCTACAGTATTTAGTTTACATCAGATGATAAAGTGCTACATTTCTAAATACTAAGTGTGAAAGAATATAATTTAGCCGCCTACTTTCTTTTCAACAAAATCATCAAAGTCTGGTGCACAAGACCAGTCAGTCAGATTTATTTTGTGATTTAGTCTGTTGATTATCAAGCAGAAAATTCAATTTGTTGACTTTCTGGCACCCTCGTATGTTGCAATTTTCAGCTATTGGCAAGACACTTCAAGTTTACTGTGCACCAAATTTGAACTGGCAACTCAATTTTTTTTTTCGTGTTTGTGTGAGGAACAAGCGCATGACCAATCAGAACATATTTTAAAAGCTGTAGAGTTTTTTTTTTTACCGTACACTAAATTGGTTAGTAGCACATTTGATTGGTTGCTGTACTTTTACCACATGATTGGTTTGCTGTACTTAATAAAATACACTCCATTGGTTGCTGTACTATGTTTAATGCATTTGATTGGTTGCTGTACTTTTACCACATGATTGGTTGCTGTACTTAATAAAATACACTCCATTGGTTGCTGTACTATGTTTAATGCATTTGATTGGTTGCTATAATTAGTACAAGACAATTGATTGGTTGCTATACTTTTACCTGACGATTGGTTGCTATACTTCATAAAATACACTCCATTGGTTGCTATAATATGTTTAATGCATTTGATTGGCTGCTGTGCTTTGGACAAGACACTTGATTGGTTGCTGTACTTTGCATGAGCAGTTTGATTGGTTGCTATGCATCTAGGCTAGCTCAGAAGATGTGGCTATTTTTAAAATTAGACATAAATCTTGTGTAGACACATGGCATCCTCAGTGGTATTTAAAGTCTCTATATGTTAATGTCCATCCTGATGTTATTGCTTGTGACCTTTGGGGTCATCATAACAAGTCTATAAATTGCTTTTAAGGGTCGCTAGCGTTAGATAGAGCTGGATGCTTACTTGACAGAACACAGGTCTCTAGGGGGGGTTTGGAGACAGGATGCCAGGCAACAGGCCACTGTCAGGGGTTAGATGATAAATTGACACCAGAAACCTTTCATCTAGACTGACCAAGCAGAATAAAATAGACTGATGGAGAACAGTCAGTTCTGGAAGATTGGAGCTGGAATGTTGCAGTGCTACTGTTCGGTTTTATTGGCCCTTTTGGGGTTTTAAATAGTCATCTGATGGTATGATTCGAGTAACAGAAATAATTTGATGCAAGGAGTTAAAATGTTGTACATTTCACAGGGGACGTATTTCTGCTTGTCAGGAAAAGTCATAGAATTTTGTTGCATTGAAATTTAATAAGGGTCTGGTAAAGTGGACAAGGGAGTCACAGTAATTTTCGCTGAATTTTATATCTTCAAAATTACTGTGGAATACTTTATCGCTGGAATTAATTTTCGCTGAAAAGCCTTTTTTGGGCGTTTTGTATGGAATTTATTTTCACTGATTTTTGATGAGTTTAATGTGAAATATAGGAAAAAAAGTATATTCGCTGGATTTTATTTTCACGGAATCATCTCTTCAGCGAAAATAGCGAAAATAAATTCCAAGCGAAAATAAAGTATTCTACAGTATTAAAATTGCTAATAAGCGACACCTACATCGTCATTCACATTAAGTCCTTGTAAAATGAAACTTTAAAATTTTTTTTTTTTTTTTCAAAATATAAATTCTATAAAGTTAGACATCTGGGGATAACTGCCTTAAAGTAAAATATTCAGCCTAAGTGTATAGTTAGCTCCAGTGACAGGTTTATTTATATACAGTCAGTTAGCAGGTTATTTAGCACAATGATGGATACGGTGCTAGTTCTGCTTGGAAAGTTTTGACTTGACAGGTGACTGGTGTATAGCCATCAAGCATGACTTCATCAATGTTTTTTGAGTGTTTTGTATGGAATTTATTTTCACTGATTTTTGATGAGTTTAATGTGAAATATAGGAAAAAAAAGTATATTCGCTGGATTTTATTTTCACAGAATCATCCCTTCAGCGAAAATAAATTCCAAGCGAAAATAAAGTATTCCACAGTAGTTCCACCAACCAGAATTAGTTCTCCTATTATTAGTTCTTTCCTCGCTTGATCAAAGTCGTCCATATTGTGTTAGTTTCTCCTGAAAAAAAAAGTTTAACAGTTTACAATACAATATTTAAGATGGAGGTGAATATTTTAGTGTTGCTTTGTTTTATCAGGCTGTTGGTTGTGCGAGTGTGCACGTGTTCGTTCTATATGTGTCCAATATGAACTAGTCTGGGAGTAAAATAATATTAACACCTGAAACAACGAAAAATTAAAAATCACCAAATGTCCAATTCAGAAGTTGTAGTGCTGTTTTTCGAGATACTATTTAGAGAGTTTTTGATTTTCAAATTGGGCTTCTTGAAAAATAGCTTATCACAAACCGTGTACTATAAAATTTCTACTGGAAACCATCGCTTCTATTAAAATGATACAATACAACAGAGAGAATGCGGCTTCTATTAGAGCATGTACACATATGAGAAATGGTGAATTTTTGGTTTTCAGTTGTTTAAAAAGAATGGGTATGGCCTCTATTAGTGATGCGGCTTCTAATACAGATTTTGGGGTAGTATGTGTTTGAATATCGGAACTGTTGAAGTACTGAGTTTATTGTGGAATTAAAATTCTGCTTTTCTTTCCTTAGCCAATCATAGTTAGTTGAATCACACTACATTCCCGTGTCTTGTCTTCCAATAGAATTTATCTGTTACTGACGAATCCAGGTCAATGACCTTTATTTTTACTACCGAAATGTGTATGTATGTCAACAGGGTTATATAAATGTTAACTGACACTTATAAAAGTTACAGTCTATTTTTATATAGTATTGTGCTAGTATCATTAAACTTTTGTTTATAGGTTTTCTTGCGTAACATCTGCTGTTATCCGCCTGCTGTCACCATACCCTTATCTTATATATTCTAACTTTTGTCGAAAGTTTTCCAAAACAGTACTTTGATCTTAAGTTGAGTACTGTAAAGTGACTAATTTTCACTGGGTTTAAATTTCACTGATTTACCATTTCAGGCATATTCAGTGGGTTTTAAATTCACGGTTTCATCATTTAGATGTGTTCTATGCTAAATTTTACATATTCACTGGGTTTTTAATTTAGCGCATTTTCCAGTCAACAAAATAAGCTAAATTAAAACCCAGTGAATAATTACCCCCTTTACAGTATCTGTGCATAGATATGATCTCATTTGAATATGACCTATGACCTAGTCTGCAGTTCCCACCATTTTATGACATCCTAATAGTAACAAATGCAAAAAATGTTTAAAATAAGAAAACAAAACTTCCATGATCTTTAGGACATTTGTGCTAAAACTATTTGCAATAAAATTAACAGTAGCGTTTTGATTATTCTGCATTCAGTCTTTTAATATCATAAAATAAAGAGTATTTATATAAACATTTTCTTTCTGCGCTATTTTTATCCAGGTTTACCGACCTATACAATATAGTTTGACCACCTACTTTTGCAACCTATTACTAAATATTTCAAAGGAAATTCTTTTTGAGTGTAAGGATGGAGTTCATTTTGAAAAAAAAAATTAGTAAAATTAATAACCAGTAAAAATAAGTTTTGCTTGCTAACATCATAAGTGAATTTGTTGGCACTTTCACATTAGTGTTTTTTTATCAACAAAGTATTATCGCTAAATACTGTAATTTGCTTTCAAGAGAGAAAATTTTTTGTATCACAGTAATAATGTCTTTGGAGTCCGCGATCTTTTATCACAAATACCATAAAATTCTGAAGTAGTGAAAATCCCTAACAGGAAAATTAAAAAGGTTTTACAGTTCTTTTGCCATTATGTCAATTATTATATTGAAAATGAATCAATTTGCCAGCTATATTTGATCATGTCTTGTGTTGGTCTATTCTCGATGAATCAGCCTTGCAAGAAATATCACCTCAGAGTTTATTGATCTCGGAATCCATGAGCTGTAAATACTGTCTCTGAATGTTTTATGTGTTCATTTCACTGAAATCTGAATATTCAGAAAAAAAAGACTATTTGCATCATAGTTTAAGGTTACAAACTCAAAGAAGAAAGAAAAAATACTTTTCTACTTTTATGCTCAGTCACTTTTATTTTCAAATACAGTATTTGCTCTATTAGAAGCACATTTTATATATATATATAAACTAAAAATTGGAGTTATTGAATGCTAGATCATTGAAATATGGAATATTTTGTTCATTGGCTCGCCTCTGTGATTTACGTAACCATATGAGCTTTTAATATTTAGCTAAGATTTTGTCAAATTCTACTGGACATTAAGGATTGGTTTTCAAGCCCCTGTATTGTATTCAGTAAACACTGGAATTATTTGCAGAAATCCACTAAATTAAATCTATGTGAATTTGTACAATAAAATATTAAAATTAAATCTTAGTGAAAATTAAATGTTAATAGTACTCTCCTGTGATTGGATAGAATGTTGGCAATTGGGATCAGGTAACCAATGAGATAAAGTCTTGTACGAATACTAATGACGGCCATATTTCACTCTCCTGTATGTCTGTGTCTTGCTGGTACATCTATTCATGCAGTTCCGAAAATAATCAATTGTTGGTGGACTCGTACATCATGTCACTAGAGTGTTAAAATGAAATATTAACATGTCTATCAGTGGGTTTAATGGTCTCTTTCATCTTGCTCATGTCACGTCATGCCATATACTAATTCTGAGTTTATTTTGTTCCTTCCTAGGAGACTGCCATGTAATTCAACCGATATGTTTATATTCTGCTGGACTTTATTTGTGCAAGTCAGAGGTAAGACTTTCAGTTTAGCGGTTAATGATTTTCTGAACGACAGCTCGGCAAGTGGTTATGGTTTCTCTATATAGTGCATTCAAGCTGTGCAGATTTTGAAACCAATCCTTGTCGCCATAGCAATACTTTAGATATTTTGGTGATAACAAAATACAAATTTTTGTTCATAGATACCAAAAAGTAACTGTTAACTGCTGTCCATAGCTGTGGTCGTCACATGGGTTTGATAGATTGAGTCTTGATTCCATAATCCTTTACGCGAAAACCGTATTTTGTCTATTTAAAAGCGCATCTTCAATAAAATCACACGTTTTCTGAAAAGGTCATTGTATGTTCATTAAAAAACAATTTATTTTGACCATAGACACAACTCTGTCATTTGCGTAAGTACATGTGCTTCTAGTACAGCATACAATATTCAGTGTACGCCACAGTGTAAACAAACTTTGCATATTATGAACGCATACCAAACATGACACTGTGCATGAAGCAGAATGGGAATGCATCATATTATATGTTAAAAATACTGTCTTAATGTGTGTGTGTTGAAACTGTCTGTGTTGGTGCTGCAACAGCTTATAGCTGTTCTCAGTCTTCCATCCATCAAGTTTCGAAATTCAAAAGCAATTTATCACCCAGGCATTGATAATTACTCAATTCCCAGGAGTCGTAATTTGTCGTACTTTACACCGAAACATAGACGAGCATTTTAAAAGCTGTCTTAAACGCCTTATAGATACATGCTCTCTGAAAAGCGATTTCTGCAGACATAGTTTTTAACCAAACTGAATGTATGTTTTGTAATTGGACAAAACCACCCAACTGCATCTCCCACTGTACCTCTTGAAGTGTGTTGAATTCCCTCTGGGTTCAAAGGCATGCCCGTGTACAACTACTTGATTGTATTTATCTCAAATGCTCATCTCAACATGTATCATGTAAAAACTGTACAAATAGTGCATAGTATCATTCAACTCAAAACAGCAAAGTACAAAGGATGTATAATGGGATTATGTTCAAAAACATAATTAATCGGATTAGTTGGCGCCAGTGATTTTTTTCATTTATGCCTTACATGGTTCGATATAAGCTATGCTGTAACAGGCTGTACATGTATGTAAGCTTTGATATAGTCGCCCCAATGTAAGGATTGCTTTAATTGGCTAGATGTAAGGAATGTTGTAATTGGCTGGTTGTTTTGATGCCTGGGATAGAGAGAGTAACTGATAACCGTTCATATGAACCGAGATTGGTGTCAGATTACGTTACAGTTGCCTTTCCTGTTATGCATATGCAAATTACCATTGTGCCTGCTACTTCAGGGGTTGGCTTGCAATGCCTCAGTGGGCCTGTTTTTGATACAGTACTGTGACTGGAGTCAGGTGGTTTACAGTCCAGCTCGTAGGACAAGTCTTGACTTGCTCCAGCATTAAAAAGATCCTTGTACCTGATGAGAGGTATTTCCTCTGGACTGTTTCCAAAGGTAAAGAAAAATGAACTTTGTGACCTCATTTCATTGTTAGATCTGCGTAACAAATACCTGTATTTTTGTGAGGAAGTCTGCTTTCATGCCTTGTGGAAGTCAAAAGTGCAGGGTTTTTTTTTTTTTTGCAACTTGGACTATTTTCAGAAAATCACCAAAATTGAATCAATTTGTGGGAAGAAGAATAATACTAACTTCAATGCATGATGCATGGTTTCTGTCTGTGTACTGGGTTTTGACTCTTTCTTGGAAATAGAAAACCCAGTTTGTATTTATTATTACATCTCAAATATAATTACTGATATTTTTAGGTGTAATATTTTTCGGTAGTTTGAAACTGTTTTGATATTTAGTCTTGTTTTCTAATTATTCAAACTAAATTGTCTTGTTTTCCTTTCATGCAGAAAAGTGAATATTTCAAAAGCTGAAAAGTCTCTTATATTACTGGTTGATTATCCTTGTTTCAGATGTTGTAAGAAATGAATGACAAAAGCTTTCATCTGTGTGACTACTCCTAAGAAATGGAGAAATGTAATATGCTGGCACATTGCCAATAACGTTGCGGCTGACAGAGAAACTCTTAAGTTTAGCGACAGCTGATTTGAGTTTGTAAGATTGTTCACTTCATTGTGGAAACGATCAAACTCACAAAAAAGTAAAACAAAAAAACTGGGCTGGTTGACGCCATCGTGAGTAGTTTCATGATGCAGTAAAACATTAATTGAATCATTATTCATGTGAGTGGGTGGAGTTTCATTCTTGTTTATTTGCGTATTAACATATCTTACTACCTTTTATTGTCATCCAGTCCATGCTAGTAATAGTAATTTGCTTGCATGCAAAATGTTTATATCAATTCAATCTGCACATTCACCAGTTTGTTTTCTGACTTGTAACTTAAGTTGGATAGAGTATATCCATTTGTCCATGTGGTGAATTTTAAGTCTATTTAGTGGGGGGGGGGGGGGGGTTGTTCAAAGCAGGTTAAAGAGACTGATTTGTGCCTGTTGGTTTTATTCAACTTGATCATTTTGTTTTTATGTTCTATCGTAACTATTGTCGGCATCTTTGTTGCATTATTACTAGGCAGGTTTTGTTTTACGAGTACTGTAATGGAACGTGACTGGCCCACCATAACTTATTGACTTGAAGGGTCTAAAAATAATGCTTAGGCAATAACTGAGCATGCTCGGTTGTGTTGAAGGGATGCCCTTTATTTAAATGAACTCGGTACAATACTCGGTACACAGACTGATAGTACATAGCTTTAGACGATCATATCAGACTGAGGAAGCTCGGTAAGTTCAATGCAGCATGATTAAGATGAAGATTACATTTCAGTATTAATGTATTTGGTTTCTTCATTTTATCTCTGCATTCTATTCAATTAACCTATGAACTGGTGGTCTGGTAATGCCGATCGGCGTCGTGCCATGCTCGTGTTTCAGTTTAATATGCATTCGTGTGGAGAGCTCTGTCAATCCTTACAGAAGCAAATTTGTAATATTTCCTTCAGACTTTCGTCATTTACTGCTAAATTAAATATTTCATGACAAAAATTCTAATAAATTATAATTATTATTCAGACCAAAATAAAAAAAAAAGAAAAGTTGATTTGCAGTGGAAAATTATGCAGATAATATTTTTTATTGAGATGAAGCTTTTGAGGCACTTACAGAACTGGAAATGACCTTGATATAAGTGTTTGCAGTTAAAATGTCAGTGGATAGGATTTGCTGTGAAATACCTAAGTGTAGTGGACTGTGCAAAACGTGTCCTGACATGTTTCTATTTTTTCTTTCTTTCTTTATGAATGAATAGTTGCATGCACATTGCGACCTCTTGATATAAGATCTAATTATAGGTGGTTATTTGTTAGACTTCAATATATGCAGAATATGTAGACCACAGGTAAAATCTCTTTTTTTTCGGGCCAATGCTAGGTCAATTAAAAAAAATACATGTGGTTCCAATTATCCACTGTACCTAAAAAAATATTTGCTTACTCTCAACTTTTTTTTTGTTTTTTGGTCAAACATAAAAAAAATGGTTCAAAAAAATTTGAATGGAATTGACTGTTATCAAAATATTTGCTAAATAGACTACCCGGTAATTGTATTGTATACATGCATGAACTTAGTCTAGAATATATTTGAGGTCTACAAATATTTGCTACAAGTCCTAGGAATGATAATGAACACCAATCACGGCCAGCTGTGAAATGTTATTGGTGAATTGAAAATGATGTCATCATTAACAGTGTTGGTCATCTGGAGACCATGTTGTGGGAGAATTCCCAGCATGCAACATTTAAATTAACCAATGAGTGTTCTACTGTTCAGTTTGTTGGAGCACAACAATAATTTGTCATGTGTGAATAAAACTGCATGGTTAATTGAATAAATCATCTTTACTAAACCTTCATTTCCTTCACTTCCCATGCAGAGTAGATTGTCCACTGTGAAAAGTGACCATGAATATATATATATATATTTTTTTTGAGATAAAGAATTTGAGTGACAAATATGATTTTGGTTGTTAGGGAATGGTTTTTAGTTTAATATCAGCGCAGTAAATACATTGTTTTTCTGAGGTCTGTACTTTTTAACCATTTGAAAACTGTCATACTTGTATTGATGAACTGTTAATATGAATATATCTGTATAATGAACCACTACATTTGAGGAGAGTCCACTGCGTATTTGAACAATAATTATTTTGTCTCAAAGGCTTTTGTACAGAAAAAATTGCCACTTTTAATAAATACATGAATAAATAATAAATGGGTATTAATTGTCAGTCGCTTCTAATTGATTTAGGTTGAAGGTGTAAAGGGTGGATCAGCTATACTAAAATGTGTGAAAAATATTTTGCTTCGAGCAGATATATGTATTAAAAATGTGAAAAAAAAATAAAGTTCAGCAAATAAAACAAATTGCCCCCCTCCCCTTTCAAAACAATGTTGCTAGTTTGCAATGGAAACCATATCTAGACAATACAGGAATAAGTTAATTTGAAACAACGTCACAGTATTAAGGATGGCTGACACATGTAATTTGTTCTGTGAAAAATTCATGTAAACGATAACGAAAGTGTTTTCACTGCATTTTATTTTCGCTGAATTATCCCTTCAGCAAAAATAAAGAGATTAGATTCTAAGTAAGAAACGTATTCTGCAATAACGTCTATTGCTGTATGTATTCTCATGAGGGTGGCATACTCTTCCACTGCATGGCCCCTGGAAAGAAGATTCATGATAACTGCATTAGTCTACCAGTGACATCATCAACTTGTTAAATGTATGAGAACACTGTTCACATGCTTGATAACAAAGAACAGTCTTGCCAAAATAATTTTATTCAGTAAAATGGTGCTGCAAATGACTTCACTGAGACATGATCATTGTATTGGCTTGATTTGAAATAGAATGAATGCGATATATGGGCATCTATTAGAGATGTGCTTCTAATAGAGTAAATATGGTACATGTACCTCTATTGGAGATGTGCTTCTAATAAAAAACTGCAGTACATGTACTTCTATTGGAGATGTGATTCTAATAAAGAAAATATGGTACATGTACCACTATTGGAGATGGGCTTCTAATAGAGTAAATATATTACATGTACCTCTATTGGAAATGTGCTTCTAATAGAGTAAATATGGTATGACAAAAAAAACAAAAAAACATCAACATATTTCGTGTTGTGACTTAGTCAAAGCATGCAGTTCATCTTCACAGCAGTATATGCTTGATTTAGACCTTGCACAGACTTGACTTTGACCTCATGAATTTGACTTTGACCTACATTGCTTTGCTACACCAGTCATTCATTTAAAATAAAATAAAAATCCCTTTTAATATTTGATTTCCAGTTTTGTTTGAAATTAACAATGAATTTGTAGTTTTGAAATGGCTGACAATCTAAATATTTGATATTTAATTGATAATGAAATGCGAAACGATGTATTCAGTCAATTAGAATTTATGCTGGTAGAGTTGTGACAACATACTCCAGATATATTCATATTGTCAAATTTGTTTCTCAGGCTTGCATATTTTGTTTGTATCGGTGAGCTCAATTTATGGTCGATCTTTGTGAAGTATATATAGCAAGGTGTCAAATGAACTATTCTTGCCGCCATTATGAGTAGTGAGCTATTGTGTTGCAAACAGAAAATGAAAAAATATTGAATTTCACATCAGGCTAAGACTGACCTTGTACCCTTCGGGTGACATCGTTTTCTCGCCAAAATGTTGGTGCTACATTTTTTCTTATTTTTATGCAGTTTTCTATAATTTGTGTTTATCGTTTCCTTTTGGCTGTATATCTTGATAACAATTTTGAAAAAAAAAATTTACTTTGGTGGTCTAAAGATTAATATGGAATGATCAATTCTGTTTATACTGCACTTTGAAAAACAACAGATATAATAGGTTTATTTGCTCAATTTTTAAATACCCGATTATCCCCATGGGTTGTATGCTACTGGGATTCGTTAGTAATGTTTTCATGTCCACGTCGTTAATTGTGCGTATCATCTTGAATTTGTCAGTAATTTAACGAAAAACAGTTAAATCTAGCTTTTGGCCTAGAATGTGTTTATGTTGGGAATATTAAACATGTTTTTTTTTTTCTTGTTTTTTTTTCAGGCAACTTCCCCGCCATTAGTGACGATTTAGTGAACTCGTATCATCTTCTACTGTGCTGCTTGGATCTTATTTTCAGTAATGTTATTCTCGGCAATCGACGAGATCTTATTAAAGTAGAATTTCCAGGTAAGCCAATCGTTTATATTGGATACTGTACACAGGTTAGGAATGCTCGCAATAATATTTTGGGTGGAATTTACTTTTGAAATGTGTTTAATAATTTCTAGTCAACTCTATGTTTTTTTGACACTGTTGCTTGGCATTATGACATGCGTGGTGCCAGTGTTACTCTGTATTATGACACGTGTGGTGCCAGTGCTACTCTGTATAATGACACGTGTGATGTCAGTGTTACTCTGTATTATGACATGTGTGGTGCCAGTGCTACTCTGTATTATAACTTGTGTGGTACCAGTGCTACTCTGCATTATGACGTGTGGTACCAGTGCTCTGTATTATGACACGTGTGATGTCAGTGT